GGGTGTGTTGGGGGGTGGAGAAAACTTTGACATAGAAAAGTAATTTGGGATTGAGGCATTGGAGCACAAGAAAGCATCAGTGAGTCCAAAAATGGAAAATGGGAAAAGTAGATCTACAGGACCTAGAATGTATATTGAGAATTTTGGTCACTTGGATAACATTTTCAAGAGATACAGACAATTTAGAGAACATATGAGAAAAAAAAGTCAATGAACCACATTTATCTATTTGATATTATTCCTCCTACAGGTGCTTTTCCTTTTTTCTTCCAGGACATTAATAAATATCTCAAAAGGGACCATTACTACTATTACTCTGTCAAGAAAGTGGGCTGCATGTAGAAAGGGAGTTCAAGACCTTACAGTCACCATGGACCTGCTCTGCATAGCTTAGAGTGCCAGAGGGAAGTGAGCGAGGGGTGAATGCAAGTTCTTGAATTGCAGGATATTTGTGGAAAAGCAGAGCTCCATTTATCATAACCATCTCCTTCTTCAGCATCCTCTCTTGATTGAGAAGATGTCACTCTTGCCTCTTCTGCCTAGAAAATAGCATGGCAGGATTCCAGGCAAGACTTTGAGATAGGCCAGGGTTAAGAGCTAGTGACAAATAGGAGGTAAGCATGAATAGGGCATATTGTCTGTCCATGGTTGCCATATTTGAGGATACTCTTGAAAAGTCAATTTGCCTTTTAGGGGAGTATAATACAAAAAGGAAGATAAAATATCCCCTAGAGATGACAGTATGTAGGGAACAAATGGAAGAAGCCACACTTTCACACAGTATCTGTGGAATAGCCAGATAGGTGACTGTTAACTAAAGGCAGTTACACATTTATTCACATTTATTCTAATGTCTTATTCAACCTAGCCTCTGAATTGCAAATACAGGGAAGAGTAAAGAGAGAAAAAAATAATTAAAATAGAGCCTCCATCCCACAACCCTTCTGTTACCACTTGGATGATTTTAATGTGATTTTAGTTGTTTGTGATATTTATTGTTCAGATTCTGCCAATGTAACACTAGAAATTTAAGGGAAGGAAAACAATGAAGTATCACTCACCAGAAAAAATTATCCAGAACCTAGAAATAGGTGAAATATATTGATGGTTATTCTTTCAAAATACTGTAGTGTTTGAATTTCTAGCTACTTTATAGCTCTATAGGTTCAGGGGGTTATTTATCGATTTTTACCTGCTAGATTAAAATAATGTCTACCCAGTGGAAAAGATAACCACAAAATAACCTCAAGGTTTATGGCTTCCTTTACTGTAAGACACTAAATTAGTTTTATATCTAACCCTCTGGTTTATCCCAGCACTTATATACGTGTGTGGTGTGTATACACAGACCCCCACCCACACACACACACACACATACTACCAGCTGCTTAAATATTCTTTGTACTAGTTTTGACATTTTATTGGTCCCCTCATTTGTAAATGAGTTGAATAATGTCCTTCACTTATTCATTTCACCTCTGAATGATAGGTATATTTAACCCTTTAAACTCTAATAATCTTTATTAGCTCCCAAAACTATTCTATGTTCTGGTGAATTTACCTCATGGGAGTCAGTTCATTGGTAAATAATCTCAAATTCTTACTTCAAAATCTGAAATAATTACTAATCACATGAGCCTCTTCCATTTTCTATACTCATGTCATTCCCACCCCTCTTCCAGTCATTATATGGTTGATTTTAATTTTTTCACAGGTTCTCATCCATGCTTGGGCTTAGCTTGAAAGACTTTGTAAAAAAAAGTTTTTGTCAAAGTTAACTTTGCCTCACTTTCATTTAGGTTGTAGACAATTTGAAAATAAAAAAAGGAGACAATTTTTTTTCTCTCTCTTCTGATCACTCTGAAAGCAGATATATCAAAATATGACATGAGACTTGACTTTGATAATATATCGAATCAGCAGAGAGAAAATTAAAATGAAAAAACAATGGTGCCCAAAAGTAATAATTTCATTAGAGGTTATGCTGCAAAATATTTTTGTAGAGGGAAAAAACTGAAATATGGAAGTCATAGAAAACATTTTTAAAACAACTGTTGCTCTGCTTTCTACTACTAAGTCTATAAGAAAGACAGCAAGTTTTTGAACATTCAAAAACATAATTTGTAAGGAAAATTTTATTCTAGCTATATTAAAGTTTTCTTCATTATTTATACCTTCACTAAAGGGCATCCATAATAAAAGGGAAAAGAGACATTTCTAAATATTACTATATGACTAATATAGTCTGCAATTTTGCATTATTTCTCACTCATCTTTTCAGGCAACCTCATTATTTTCAACAATTCTGTTCTAAACACTAGATTTAGATTTGGATGAAAATACTGACATCAAAGGAAATTAAATAAATGAAATGAGAACAATTGATAGGTTTGTGAAACAGAGTTTAAGAATGACATGTATTCCATTTGTGGGCTGAATATAGATACCAATGTTGGTTAATTTCATTATAAAATTATAACTATTTTATACTGTCATTGGTATAGAATTAAAAAGGAAAGAAAATATAAAGATACAAATTTCTGTTCTTCAATATGGCATTTTACTTAAATAAAATGTAAAATTTCATGTATTTGAAATGTCAACTCTTCTTTAAAAATTTCTGGTAAATACTAAAAATTTAGTAGACCATTCAAGTTCCAGTGGCCATCCTTCAAGTCTAAATTTGAGTAATTCTTAAGAGAAAATTAGTTTGTGACAGATGAACTTTAATTGATTTAGACACCTTTAAATATTAGCTAGTATAAGCCTTTTTTTTTTTTAATTGAGGTCAGATTTGACCAAAGGTCACACTAATACATCACTCATTGTCTACTAGTGACATTTGCTGAATATTACCTTGGGCTACATTTTTAGCATTCCCTCTGGCAAACTGTGACATTTCTTGGCCAGGATAAAACACAAGGTCAATACTGAAGAACATAATACTATTTTTTTCCCATGCAACTTTGCATTGTATTATCTATAGTACACAGGCAATTAATTTTAAAGCATAGGACTTACAGACCACGACCAGCACACGCTAAATTCTTCTTAAAGGATGCCTCCCCAGGTTGTCTTATGTGACTGCGTTCTGAGCCCTAGACAATATCCCTGAGAAAATAACCACAGTGGAGGTCAGAATTCTCTAGCTCCTACTGTAAGAAGTTGAGGGGATTTATCCTCCTACTGCCTGGAGAGAGTGATAGTTTCCCTAGAATTAAGTTTCATACTGAGATATGGTTTTAAAGAATGATTTGCATAAATTAAACCAACTCTATTATGAGTTAAACAAGATTTTGTAGAACACCAAATAAGTATCAGTTATAAAAAGGATTTAGGAAAAAATAACCATAAGTAAATTTGTAATAGACCAATTCTGAAATGTTATGAATTATGCCTAATTATTTTTCTTCCTTAACTCTTAAAAGAAATAAAGTAATAATAATAACAATGACAACAACCCACCTTGGCCTGAGAGTCAGCTTTGCTTTCATAATCAACCTGTTGTATCCACTTACCCTGATTAGAGTCAATTAGTAAATGAGAACATGAAAATACACTTGAATTTCACTGTCTGTATGAAATGCAAGATTTGTAAAATTCAAACATATTTCTCAACATATGAGTGCTTACTAGCTAAAATTAAGTTAAAAAATATTTAAAAATTACTAATGCTCTCCAATTAAAAGAAACCATCAACTAAAAATTAAATACATAATTATAATTGCTTTTCTTGATATGGCTATTGGTACTGAGTTACCTGAAACAATAAAATATCGCAAATATGTGGTTATGGATTCATTTAGATTTAAACTAGATTTTATCTAGAAAGGCACACCTGAAAGTGGATTTAGGAACCTGATTACAGGATTATACTTATCAATAATTCAGGTTATCTGAAAACTTCAAATAATGTCCTCACTCCTTGATTTAAATATTATATACAAACAACAAATAGTATTAGGAGAAACTCAATGAAAGGCTGATAAGTATACCCTTCCTCCTGGATGCAGTTTCTGTCTAGGTAGGTATCTAGTCCATGTTGCTCTATGTTGAAGGAGAATGAACTATGCTACTTCAACTTATTAAATAAAGTGACTGTCAATATCTGGGCTGAAACTACAGAGCACAGATAGCTCTTTATATCTATAAGCAGTGCAATGAGCCATCCAAGCTAACTCAGCAGAGAGAACATTTACTAACAAAACGATTGTAGAGACCCATTGACTTGATGGATGTCTGAAATTGTAGAGAACAGAAAAGCCTAGAACAAAATGGAAACAGATTTGAAAGCTAAGGGGCCCCCTTTATCCACCCTAGCATGCTTTATTAGCATGACACAGCCCCCTGTTTTCTCTCTTTAATGATACTGCTCTATGAACCAATGAATGTTTTCATTTGGAAAATAAGAAAGCACTGACATGTGATCTGAACTGTGGTTTCTCTAGTGATGCCAGGGGAATAAATATGCTAATTCTGTGCTTTCAAGACTGGACTGGGTAAGGCCCATTACTTCACTGATTTCAGTGTATACCAGGAGCAGGTGAGAAAAGGTTAATCATAGTACATTCCTTGGAATATTTCATTACCTGAAAGTTTTGACTTAGAAAATGGGAGAATTTCAGTGACCTTTTGATAGACTCTTAGATGGTGACTTTCATATCACATTCTCCAAAGTTTAACTCGTCACATGTTAATTATAATATCTGAAGCAATTTACCTCCAGATATTGCTTGATTCTTCAAAAAAAGATAAAATTACCATGAACAACTACCACATAAATGTTGAACTATTCACAAACTCTTACTTAAATAATGCTTTTTCATACAGGGATAAAAGGCAATCTTCCTCGCATATACATGGGTGCTACCAAAACACATTCCTGGAGGATATCCCTATTTCCTGGGAACACTAGGTCTCTTACAGCAGGAGATAAATAACAGCAGAAGTGCCAACTAGAAAGTTTTCCTTGGCTTTAAAACTGGAACGAAACAACTCTCAACATTTGCAAAACATTCCTTTATTATTAGAAATAAATTATTTGTATAAAAAAATTGCATGCGTCAACCATTGCATTTATTTTTTAGCACAACCCAGGGCTTCAATCCGGTCAGCCATTACAAGAAACAGACTCATTGTCTTATACAAGTTGAACAATGTGGGACAGGAACGGGAGTTCTCACAATCACAGAAAAATACTTACAAGAATAACATCAGACATGGTTTATTTCAACAGCATTTTTTTTCACAAGCTAACATTAGTTTTCCTTTTGTGATTTTTTTGTAATTGCTTATGAGTAAGCAATACTTTAGCTCGACACTCATTGATTGTATTGTATAAAACGGTTTTCTTCACTCTCTGTTATTGATACATTTGGCTCGTGGTTATTTTGTGTTCCTTACAAGACTGACTATTGATTTGATTGATTGTAGTCTACAGAGATCTCCAGGAGTGAGTTTTGGTGGTGTCATGTTCATTGTTCGAGATTTTCATAGTGTACGATTTCCCTGTTTCAGATTGAATGATTGCTGTAGCTGATATATGTTGTCTTGGTAGAAGAAGCTGTTAAGACAAATTAAGACCAATTAATAGCATGTAACAATAAATTATTTTGTTAAAATGATCTAAAATGCAAATCTTTTTTCTATTTTATAAAACATCTACTTACATAATTTTTATATGATATACTATTTTATGATACTCAGTTTTTACATGTTACTTATTATTTATGCCATGTATTAGGAATTCAATGACCTTAGGAATATAAACACAGTGGCAAGTTTAATCTGTTAAATCATTTGTCTTACTTAGAAAACTGAAGAGGAAAACATTTTAATCTTAATAAATTCAGGTACAATTCAATTCAAATTATCATTTTGGTTAGCAAAAATTTACAATTGAAAAATGAAAGAACAGACAAATTTATCTGCCCTACAAAATATTTTTTGTTTTAACCTAGGCTAAAGATTTCAACTCATTGAATTTGATTTGATGACCAAAGTTTAGTAATTATAATTAGTTCTGCTTTGAGAGTGAAAGTATTTTAAATTTTAAAATAAACAATATTATTAGACTTGAACAGTGAGCAGAGTAAAATATCAAGTACATAGAATATTTAAAAGTATTAAAGTAAATTTGTGTACTGCCAATACATATTTATAGCCTGGTTTCATCTAAAATATGCAATTAAAGATGTTTAAAACTAAAGACTTCAAGAAGGAAATGAATATATAATTGTACTGGTACCAATTTACTATGAAAACCCATTATGCTAATATTATTAGAAAGATGTATAAAAAAATTCATTCTCTGTCAATTTTATATTCATGTCTTATTTTTCCAGAGAATCTAAATCCAAATAATTCCTACACATTTCTGAAAATGTGATAAATCTCTGTTTAAAAAGTCAAATGTGATATTGTTTTACAGTAGAATTTTAGAATGAATAATCATGAGCAAAAAGTTATGAAACAGTGTAAAATGCAAGTATTTCACTATATAATTCTTTTTTAAAAAGATTTATTTATTTATGCATACAAGAGCTGGGATGTAGGTCAGAGGCATGGGGAGGGTGAGAGGATTCACCAGAGACAGAATGGGGAACAGAACAGGAAGATCTACTGATATATACTGCTGAGGGTAGCAGTGGGCGAGACAGGAGAAGTCTGGTGCACCATGTGGGTTAGCAACCTGGACGGGGATTGAAGTGCTATGGAACAGTGACTATGGATTGCTTCATAGTGCTGAGACTTAACCCCTTGCAACACTAGGGAGGCCCAACCTTGCACTACATAATTCTAATTCAAGATGAATCAAATTCTACAGAATAATTCAGTTGTTGAATATTTAATAAGGAAGTTGTAAAGCTCCTCCTCTGAAATAATTGGCAATTAGACTCATTCCATATTATTGGTTAGTGTACATCAACACTGGTCATTGACCAAAACTGAAAGATGACAAAGTTTACAGTCACCAAAATGAATGCAGATTCCCTCAAGGAAGTGCTAGCCATAGATCTCTCTGCTATCTTTGATATCACTGAATAATATGTGATTAATAATAAAAAGAGGTGACACGTCTGCTCATTGTCGCTACATTGAGCATACTTACTCTAAGTCAATATTGTAGAAGATTTTAGAGCAGGTTTTAAATTACATTCTACAAAATGAATAAAATAAAAGGTCACCAAGCCCCACTTTCATGCTAAAATGATGAATTTTTCACTTGTTTGATTTTTCTGTGCCTTTTTCCTAACATTTTATTATAAAATGTTTAAAACATAAAAAATTGTTCAAAGAATACCATGTTGTACACTCATGTACCCACCACCTAGATTCTATAGTTAATATTTGCTATATTTACTTCATCACCTATCCCTATAAAGAATAATTTATTATTTTAATTTAAAAATTCTATTTTTTTATTTAAAATAACATTGTATCATAACATTATGCAGGTTTTAGGTGTTCATTATTATTTATCAACACCTGTGCATGTTATGTTAAGTCAACCACTATGATTTTGAACATCAAACCTGGAATTACTATTTTTATGATATTCAGTTTTTTATGTTATTTTTTATTTTATTTATTTTTTTTTAAAGATTTATTTATTTATTTATTATTTATACAAGCACTGGGTACAGTCAGAAGAGTGGGAGGGTGAGAGAATTCACCAGAGACTGAGAGGAGAGCAGAGCAGGCAGACTTTGGAGCAGCGGGCGGCAGGAGAGGTCTGCGCGCCATGTGGGACCTCCTCCGGTGGCCGGGGAGCAGCCGGGATCGAACCGGCGCTGCAGAGTCCGCGGGCAGCTTCGCAACCCAGCGCTCAACCGCTGCGCCACCGGGGAGGCCCCTGTTATTTTTTTTTAAACCATGTGGTAAGATCATTGAATAAGAATTCAATGCTCATATAAATAAAAAAGCAATAGTCTCATTTAGAAAACTAAAAATGTAAATGTTTTAATCTTTAACAAATTCAGGTGAAATTCACAACATTGGGTTTTATGAGGGTGGAAGCCGAGTACATTTGTGGAGAAACGGCTGTTGTGTGGGGAAACAAACACAGATTCCTACATTCCCCTGTACCCTCTAAAAGGTAAGGTATCTGTTACTTTTTGCTTTGTGTAAAGTGAAATGCAATGATTTTTATGCCCATTTACTGTTTATTAACTTCTAATTTACATAATGCCATCATAAGCCTTTAAATTTCCTATAAGAAAATAGAAACTTTCATCTATGATTTTAAAGGATTTTCAAATAATCTTTGCAGAAAAGTTAAAGAAAAATTGTCATAAGAGTTAGAAAATATAACCCTCACAAGACTGTGCAACTTCAACATTTTTAATAATAACTAAAAATGTAGGAAATATTTATCAAATTTGTTGATAGCTAGAGAGAAAAATTATGATTGCAATAGAAAAGCAAGTACAAAAAAGACCTTGAAGAAGATGATACTCAGAAGGTGTTAATTCAACAGAAGGTGATTTGGATAAGGCTATCTTGAAGGATCCTTCCATCTTTGAGACTCTATTGCTAATTAAAGATTCATACTTCATTTTTTTGAACTCTTAGAAGTTATCTCCAGGGTATAAACTGGTAGACTTCTGTTGAGAATTGAGACCATAATTTAGAAAAAGAGAGCAATCTTAATTTTTTTCCTGGTTAGAAAAGGAAGCAAGGGTATAAAAACTGATGATTTGGTGAACATGAGAACAATGATAAGGAGCAAGTGTGAATGGAAGATATCTTGCGAGAAAATTCATTCCAGAAATATTACAGAGCAAAATGGATCAAAGATGTACCTATGAACTAATAGGGAGAGATTTTACCATGGTGATGAAAACGCTCATGTGCAAATCAATTTTTGAATACAGTGACAATGAATTTCCTTGTGCAAACCACACTGTGTTCATAAACTGGAAAAAACAGATCTACCTCCAGAAGCAGCTGTTTGCATGAATTATTCATGAACATAGCTTAAGGAATAACATGTTAACAGCATTTGTTAATTTTGTACAGTTGATAAAATTTATATATACATGTATTTATATATCAACTGTTTCTACCTTCCATCTCCCACTTTTATGAAGCAACAGCTGACCTTTTTGCATGTGAAATACAGTAAATTCAGTAATTAACATGGATTTGTTGCTCTCTCTTCCAGCCTCAGAGTTCTTACATTTATTCTGTGTGTCTTTGAAAGTTTTACAATCTTAAATATGTTGCCAGAATTTCTGGAATTAATAAGTTATTTTTAAGATGATGTTTCTAAGTATGATAAACTTGAGAACTCTATGGCATGAATGACAACATTGCTGTATATCATAAAAACACACTTAATTCTTCAGAAAAAATCCCAACAATGGAATAGTAGTCATAATTATCAAAATCCTCCACATATCAAAAATATGAATAAAAAGAGGGATGCTAAAATAATGTTTTTTTTTAATTTTAGGTTTTCTCTTTTCTACTAATGACAGATCAATCTGTTTTCAAGGCAGAATATTTTTACCTTTCTACAGTGATTTATAGTTTACAAAATACTTTCAAGCATATCATTGTCATCTGATCATAGTAATGGTAATTTATCAAAAGTCTGGTTATAGAATATGTGTGAATGCCGCAACAGGGATTTTATTTTGGTGGATTAACTAGTCCTGAACTTATTTAGAATAGACTAGACCATTTTGAGAGGCAATGTTTTAAATTTGAAGTGGCATGATACTAGTTACAGTTGAATGACAAAAACCTTTTTCCTATATTCAATTATATTTCTAAAAAACATAAGACACTTTTGGAAGGAAATGACAGCACTGAGGTTATCTGGGTTATTGCCACTTTTAGAAAGTTGATGATTATAAAAGATGTTTGACTCAATTCAAGCCACAGGTGCACACAGTAAAGAGAACAAGAGCACAGGGGGCCCATGACCCTTAGTTATGCACAAGAATGAAAGTTAAGAATGGTGATCTGGGGCCTCCCTGGTGGCTCAGGGTTTAAAAACAGCACTATAAAGCTTATCAGCAGCCACTACAACATGAGTTTGATGCCCCCAGGCCAGACAGGGAGGTGACCCACATGGAACAGAAGACCTCTCTTGTCTCGCCCACTGCTCCCCTCAGCAGTGTATTTCAGTAGATCTGCCTGTTCTGCTCCCCACTCTCTCTGGTGAATCCTCTCACCCCCAACACCTTTGGCTTATACCCCAGCTCTTGAATGCATAAATACATAAATCTTTAAAAAAATGGTGATCTGGATGAGCCTATGGAAAGATATGTGAAAGCACCAGTTTTCTCTCCTCAATGTGTAAACTATAATCATGTAACTGGACTAATCCATTCAAATATGGTGCACTTCTATAAAAGATGAATACACTAAAATATCCAGGTGCAATTTAGCCTTTCAGGTAGTGATTGACTTGATCTTGATTCATCTTTGTAGGTGAGCTTCTAACTCTTCCAGAATGTTATAGGCTTACTTCCCATACAGGTTGCTCATTTGTCATATTCATTCTTGTTGCAGAGAAAATAGGGAAATGCATACATACTAAAAAAAAAAAAAATTAACATTTCAACATCACAAAAAATTAATAAAAAGAAAATACATAAAAAATTTCTATAATGTAGGATTAGTATTTTTCAGTACAGAGAATTTTCATCTTCAGAGAACTTACATGTTTTTAATTGTTTTTTTATTTTTTTAATTGTTATGGAGGTATCATTGTTTTACATCTTTGCTAGTGTTTTGACCATAAAAGATTTTGTTTGCTGCCATCCTCAATTCTCTGGGGAAAGTCTATTAAAATTTTCCCCACTACTTTCCAGAGGTGAGTTGGGAAAACTGATCTTTATTTTATTCTATATCTGGTTATTCCCATTTGCAAGCACATTGCAGAAAGTTTTCTGGATTATTGGTAAAGAACAAGCACAGCTATAGACTCCTGTGAGTCATACCGAGAAATGCCAGTGTTCCAAGAGTCTCACTGGCAAAGAGCAGCTTGCCAGCATCCTACAATAGGTTTAACTTCCTGCACGGATGTTTTCAAGGCAGAAAAACAGATAAAATTCTACTCTTAAATCACAAGCATTCTTGTTGATTGTAGTTACAGTGCATCTTTTGCTAAGAGCTCCAAAAGGCCCATCATTACTAAATTGTCTACCCATGATCAGAGATGATTACAATGATTTGTTACTAAAACCCATATTTATTGTGCCTTCTCTTGTGGTTTCTCAAGGTTTCATATTTGCAGAAAGCTGACTATCTAGGGCATGTCTATGGCATTCACAACAGGCTTCTTTCTCTACATGTGACTAAGCTGATATCACTGAGATAAAAGGTAATCTTCCCAGAAGATCTGACCAATAATTCCAAGAAGTCTGAGGGTAAATGAAGCCAACAAGTTTACTTATCAATACTTACCTTCTGAGGACATTTATGTATACGGGACATTAAAGTAAAAAATGTCCATCCGAAAATCTTGATGTAAGGGAAGGTTTGTGAATCTAGTGAAAACTATAAATTGTTATAATTCCATCAGATCAAATCAAATCTTTTTTTTCCTCCTTTTTTTTATTTATTTATTCATGCATACAAGAACCGGGGAACAGGCCAGAAGCACAGGAGGGTGAGAGGATTCACCAGAGACAGAGCAGGGAACAGAACAGACAGACTGATAGAAATACACTGCAGAGGAAAGCAGTGGGAGAGATAGGAGAGGTCTGCTGTGCCACATGGGTATCTCACTGGCCAGCTGGGCTCGAACCCGTGCTGCAGAGCCTGCTAACAGCTTCATCCTTCTTGTATTTTGTGTCAAAAGTATAGAGAATAATGGATACAACCTGCTAGAGGAATCTGAGTGGAAGAGAACATTTTTGCATAGGATTTTATCCTAAATTATTAAGTTCCAATGTTGTATTCCCAAAACAGAAAGTCTCTCTAATTCAAGCACTTTAGTTTTTATTTATTTGTGTTCCATCTACTAAATCTTGTAATGAGGATGTCTTTTTGTTTGTTTTCACTACACTCAGATTTCTGGTAATTTACAATATAAATCATTGATCTATCTAGATGCCAAGATGGGCTAGAATAGCTCAGTTAAGCTCTACAGGGTGAGCTTATTACCAGTGCATGTTATCAATTGCTTCTTTAGGGATGATTCTAGAAAGGAGGAAAGTCAGTGAGAAAAGGAAAAGTAGAGCAAGGTTGTAGAATGGAAACTATTTTCAGGGCCAGGGGCTTCTAGAAAAGAGCCCTAGTTATTTTAATATATCCAACAAGGGAAAATTCGGGAATACAAAAGAAAGAGATGACTTGGGAGAAAAATGCATAAACTATGACTTTACCTAAATATTGTCTGAATCATTTTCTCATTTCCCTAAATGCTCAGATAACATTTTATTTCCATAAGATTGATCTTTGGTTGCATATTCTATAAATATTAGTTAAGTATTAATTATACAAAGAACATCCACTATTGAACTAACAAAGACTGGAGAATAGTCCCTAAGCACTAAATGATAACTTTATAAATGGAAGGCAGTTCCAGACTTCAAGCTCTATAATGTCTCCAAAGAGAGAGCTGAGTATCACATTCTGTGAAAGCGATTCTGTGAGCATGTTTATGCTCTAGAGAAGAGCCACTTGTCCTGCCATCATTCGATTCTAACCAAATGGTTTTTAAAACTCTGAGATGGCCTCATGGTGTGTAAGCACCACATGCCCCTGGAACCACGCAGCACAGCCCCCAAGACTAGTAGAAGAATGTTCAACGTACATCTATTAGGAAGTGCTCCCGCTCTTGACCATCGGAAACTCTACGGATGACTTACTATTGGTTTCAAGACTCTCACAGAGTTCACTTTTCACCTCGCCATTTGGTCTGTCGTTGCCTTTTTGGATCAGTTTGCTTTGCATGGTGGCAGCTGTCACCACAGCCTTGAAGCTCCTCTTGCGTTTTTGAACATTCTGCTCTGGATGAAAAATTATAATATAAACCTTGGGCATATAGAGCATGCCCAGAGACACCGAAGCGCTTAAACTCATGGAGACAGTAAGTGTTGTTGTCTGGATGTACATCTGAGGGGAGGAAAAAAAAGAATAAATGTTGGTAAGCCCGATCTAAGATAAGGCAAATAACAATCATGTTCTACAATCATTCCATCTTCCCTGCCAAAGGATTAGAAGTACCTTACACTTATTGAAATTGCCCTCATGGTAGTCAGGGTTTCCTTTATCCTCACTTGTAAATGTGGGCAAGATGATGCTTTTGCTATGTCCACTTCCTTAAAACAAACAGCTAAGCTGATGGTACTCAATTTTCTTTTTAGATTATAATTAAACTTATACCAGGAAGGGAGCTAAACCTTTCTGACAAAAGACTAACATTTTATACCACACAAACCTTCTTCAGGAAGGTATTACAGGATCAAATGTTATTCTTTTAACAGTAAATTTAACCTAGAAGGTAAATTACATATAGTGGAAATTCATGGGAGTGAAATATTGCCAAACATCACTATTGTACAAGATTGCTTGAATAATGCTAGTGCTGGCTCCTTCACACAGCTACTTCATTCCAGCTACTAGATCTGATAAATTTGGACTTTCTCTCTAAAGAACACTTCTAGAGGGCTTCTTAAAGATCACATCATATCAAAACAAACCTGGGCGCTTTCACAAAATAAGTAAGATTACCTCACTAAGATTTAAATATACCCTTGAGGAAAAGGAACTTGACACCTGCATTTTGAAAATTCTCCCCCTGTGTTCATCCCTTACCCTTATTCCACTGAAACTGATTGCTCTGGTACTTAGAAAGAGAGGTCTCTTGGGAAAATGGTTCTTCCTAGAATCTCGATGTTAATAAACTGAAAAAGCTAAACTAAAATCACCGCTTTTGGCTTTTTATGTCATGATGGTATGTAACAGATATGGTAGTATTTTAATCTTTTTTTTCCTTCTGCAGTGTTTTTGACATGTAATTAAAACATGTCAATTAATTTAAGGTGTATGACTTGCTGTTTTGACAGATATATTGTGAAATGATCATTGCAATCAAGCTAATTAACATATGCATCATTTCACGGGTATCATTTTATTTTCATTTATTTATTGGTGGCAAGAAGGATTAAGAGCTACCATCTTATCAAATTCAGGTATAGGCGGATAATGCTCCATTGCATTATATATATTATATATATATAATATATATAATTACCTCATTAACAGTTGAAACCTTTCATCTGTTTTCATTTTTTTTCATGTCATAGCCCAAGACATAATTTTTCCAAATAACATGGAATACTTGGGCCACAAGGGAAGCCATATTTTTAAGATTATGATGAGATCCCTTTATCATATTGCATATCCTCATTAATATTTGTCACAGTTGCCAGATTGTATCTGACAATTATCAAGTTGTCAAATTATATCTGATGCTGCGATATCTCCCAAACTAATTGTGTCCTTTATAATAAAGGATCCAAAAATATTCACCTAGGGAGGTAAATACCTAAAATCAGCCTTAGGGTTGCCTTTCTTTTTCTTTTTCTTTTTTTAAAAGATTTATTTTTATTTATACAAGAGCCGGGGTATAGGCCAGAGGCTTGGGAGGGTGAGAGGATTCGCCAGAGTCGGAGCGGGGAACAGAACAGGCAGACTGACCAAATACATTGCTGAGGGGAGCAGCAGGCAAGCAGGAGAGGTCTGCTCACCATATGGATTGCTCCGAGGCTGGTGGGGATCCAACCAGCACTGCAGAGGCTGTGGACAGATTCACAGCGCAGTGCTCAACTGCCTATGCCACCAGGGAGGCCCAGGGTTGCCTTTTCTTAGGACAGACAATTTCTCTTAAGAGATAAAAGCCTGTGGGCCTCCCCGGTGGTGCAGCGGTTGAGTGCTGGGTTGTGAAGCTGCCCACAGCCTCTGCAGCACCGGTTCGATCCCCTGCTGCTCCCTGGCCACTGGAGGAGGGTCCCACATGGCACGCAGATCTCTCCCGCTGCCCGCTGCTCCCCTCCGCAGTGTACTTTGGTCCTTCTGCCTGCTCTGCTCCCCGCTCTGGCTCTGGTGAATTCTCTCACCATCCTGTGCTTCTGACTGTACCCAGTGCTTGTAAAAAAAAAAAAAATTAAAATAAATAAATAAATAAATAAATAAATAAATAAATAAATAAATAAATCTTTGAAAAAAAAGAGATAAAAGCCTGGAGGTAAAGAACTATCCAAACCATGAGAACTTCAGACACCAGTAAAAGGGATTATCTCTGTGAAAGCAACCAAGCAGGTTACTGCATTTACTGTTCAATTCAACTACCACTAAGTTAGTCTTTTGCATAAGACCTCATTGGGACTAAGGTAATAGCCTTCAACAAGGTAATACAGGATTAGTTTGTTTCCAAGTTCATCTCTTCCTGGAAGTTCCAAGTTTATCTCTTCCATGATAAATCTTTTTTTTTTTTTTAAAGATTTATTTATTTATTTATACAAGCACTGGATACAGTCAGAAGCGGGGGAGGGTGAGAGAATTCCCCAGAGCCAGAGCGGGGAGCAGAGCAGGCAGAAGGACCAAAGTACATTGCTGAGGGGAGCAGCAGGCGGCAGGAGAGGACGCCATGTGGGACCACTGCTCCCCTCAGCAGTGCATTTCGTCAGTCTGCCTATTCTGCTCCCTTCTCTGGCTCTGGTGAATTCTCTCACCCTCCCGCACTTCTGACTGTACCCAGTACTTGCATAAATAAATAAAATAAATCTTGAAAAAAAAGAAAAAAAAAACCTGTTGATTTAGACAAATCATATACAATGTTTTCCATAATTTTCTAATTTCCAAATGGATACCAGTAATGACTTCAACAGAGCAGATGACATTTTAAGTAAGAAACATGAGATAGTAAGGATGAATCCAATTTCTACACTAGGCTGATGCCTACAAGCCTCAATAGAGATATAATTCAAATATATCCCTCAGCAAAGCGACAAATCACTGCACACCATGACCTCTACTGTGACCTGCCTTGAAGTGAAATCTCATGTTAAATTTGAAAGAACCGCAGATCTACTGCAATTAAGAAGTCCCAGGTAAAATGTCTCTATATGCCTTGAAACCTTATAAATCTCCCTTAAGCAACTTATCATTAGGAATACTCATAAGCTTCTCATGTGTTGGTTAATCCTCCCTGATTCCCTACGTGTCCTCCAGCTAGCATTGATGTGGAAGACCTACAAAAAAAATGTGGGGCAGAAAAACTGACATAAAGATAAGGAATGTTTACAGTCAAATGCAAAACAAACATGTAAATATTCCATAGCCACTCAAATAGGCAACCATCAGTTTTGTCCCAGGCAAACCCTGCTAAGCTAGTTTTGCTTAAAAACAAATAAAAACCAAATAAATAGAAAACCTCCAGAGATTGAACAAATGAAATCATGGAAACAGCCGTGCTGATTAGTTGGATTCATTTTATATCTCTCCATTTATTGGTTTTGCTAAAATGTCTAGCATTAGTCCAAATAATATATAAGCACCTTTCAGTTTTGAATATCTTATAAATTCCCTTTGCTATCATATGAATAAATGATCATTTTCCCCTTATTCAGAATAATATCTGTGATATATAGTAAATTAAATTGGCTAAGTATTAAACATGAAGATTCTGGATTACTAGTTTCTACATTAAGAATATAACTATATTCTATCCATTCAGCAAACCAACTCAATGGAAGATGAAACAAGCATAGACCTTAGGTTTAAACAGTTCTCTGCTAAGTGTACATTTTCTCCAGTAAATATTGTTGCCTTAAATTACACCACAATGCTGCCCTCATGTAGGGCTCTCATAAAACAACTTCTGAAAAATTGTATTGTGAATTTAATACAGAAAAAGCATCTGTACGAAAATCCTAGTCCCAAATCCAAAACTTAGAGTGCCCTAGCACTTGTTATAGGGCCTTGGGCTATAAGTAGACTGAGTTTTTGAACTTCAGCTTTGAAAATTTAATAAAATAAAAAAGCCATAATAGATCATAATGTCAATGAAAGCAAAAAAAATATCAAAACAAGCATAGACATAAAAATGCAACCTGCTCTCAAACTAGAGAAACTCACTCCTTCACATTACTATATTTAAAGAAGGAAGGAGAGATTATATTCAGAGATTGAAAATGAGTGCTTGATCCCCCCCCTCAAAAAAAAAAAAAACCTCATGCATTTTTGTAGATCTACAGAAAATTCTAATTACTTGGACCATGTAAGGAACATATTTGAGCAGACCTGAATTTGAGATCTAGCACCACAACAATTTTTAGGATAAAGAAAAGTACAGAACTCTGAAGTTGACTTGTAGCTGGTAAAGCTCTAAACCAACCCACCAAGTGGGTGGTAAATTCCCCTTATACTAGTAAAACTTACCCTGCAGGGCCTCCCTGGTGGCCTAGGGGTTAAGTCTCGGCGCTATCATAACTAAGGCCTGAGTTCAATCCCTGACCAGGGAGCTAACCCACAGACAGCAAGGCAGACCTGTCCTGTCAGGCCTGCTGCTCCCCTAAGCAGTGTATTTCAGTACATCCACCTTTTAAGCTCCTGACTCTGTCTCTGGTGAATCATCTCACCCTCTATCTCTGGCCAGTTCTTCTATGTAAAGAAAAGAATTCTTCCCCTGCAGTTGGACAGCAGTGTCATCTTATTTCCTCTCTAACCTTGAAGTTCTTACCTGTGATATTGGAGAAAATAATCCTTTGCTCATAGAAGGGTTGGGTGTAGGGTAAGATAATGTAATCTTTTTTTTAAAGATTTATTTATTTATGCATACAAGAGCTGGGGCACAGGCCAGAGATGCACGGGGATAAGAAGATCCACCAGAGACAGAGTGGGGAACAGAACAAGCAGACTGACTAAAACACACTACTGAGGGGAGCAGCGGGCGAGACAGGAGAGGTCTGCCTCGCCATATGGGTTTCTCTCTGGCCGGCTGGGGATCAAACTCATTATGCGGAGGCTGCGGATTGCTTCACAGTGCGGTGCTTAACCCCTTGTGCCACCAGATAATATAATATAATATAATCTTAATAAAAATAATATAA